GCTCACATTTAATGTTCAAACAGTTGTTTCATCATTAGTAGATTTTGCTCAACTTTTTTCTAACATGTTCAGAATTTGTTGTCATAACAAGTTCGTGTTTAAAGTTACAGAAAATAATATGATTATTACTACATAAAACGGATAAAAACAATAGAATGACTAAGCTATTTTTTTTTCAAGATTCAAGCAGAACAACACTATCAACAATGAACCATACTAAAGATGAGTAGTTAAGATAGGAACAAGTTAGTGTATATCTAATATTCAATGAAAATCAATAAATAATATATTTAATAAATATTCTTTTTAACCAATCAAATTAGAGATTCATTATTCTAAACACATTGAAGTTACACAAACTAACATAAAATTCAAATTAGACAGTTCAAATCAGTTTGTATAAAACAAATGGAAATTATGACCTCTTACGTTAGTTGTGAATTGGTCACATTATCTGTATAGTAATTCAATTAGCAAAACAAATAGGCTGTGTAAACACACTGCTTTTAGTCGGATGGAAATAAATATCAATTTTTAGAAAAAGGGTGTTGACAATTTTGGCTGAAAAACATTTCAGTATTATGTGAGACTAATTGAAGCAATCTAATAATGCATACTGATGATCGTGTATATAAATTTGAGATAATGGAAGTCAAATGAGTAACAACGTTTCTTCACTCGATCATCCAAGTGAAGATAATTTGAATATTTGGAATAAATGGAACTATCGATGTACTCAACTAATTTAACTGTGATCATTTCAGTTGTGAAACATAATTTAAAACCTCAGAAGAACCAAATAGTATGGAAGATGATCGAATAGCACTCATAGTGCTGTTTCTTTCACTTATGAAGAAACTGTTTATCTCAGTGTTGACAACTCCAGAGGCTATAAATCCCCATATGTTGTCAATCAAATAAGAATAAAAACCACTTTCAGACCGAGTTGGAATGAGACAAATGATCACATATTTTATTTATTTCGTATAATTCCCTTCATTTTATAATTTGAGAATGGTAATAAACTACCTAAATTCAATTTACATATTAGACTAATTTCCTTGTGATCACCCGGATATAGTGAACGTAGATTTCTTATAAAAAACGGTATAAATTACTGATCTGGATACTCAATCTGCAGATTATATATAATTTGGATACGCCTGTTATAAATGTAATTAGAACCTCAGATTTGATAATGACCAGACAACAGTTTACAAAAATTATAACTAGAACTGACTTAAACCTTATTGATTATAAACAACGAACTGTTGAGTTTTGTTTAAGCTATGTCAATTTATTGGGAAACTGTGAAAAATTTACTTAAATTCTCCATAGTTATATAAGCTCATCGCTCTGTATTTTTTATAAATGTATATCGAAAAACGTTCACTTGAATATTCTTTGAACATTCTGCTAATAAAAAACACGAAGTCTTAAATTTACTCATTCATCGACCCTTATAACACCTAATCATTTTGCTAAGAGGAAGTCATTCTGAGTTTTATTTAGATCTCATTTCACTTAATAATGAAATCTCTTGGGCGGTCATGATCTTCGGGGTTAAATTTAATATTTGACACTTTGTTATTATTAGGAAACAGGTCAGAATGTTAATCTACGCTAAAAATAGTTGTTAAGACGGTAGCTAATACAATTAGACAGCTTAGTTGTATTTTCGAAAATATTTTTGCTTTGTAAATCCTTATCGAGTTCTGTGTTAAGATGCTTTACAGTGAACGTTCAATGTTTACCCATTCTTTAAATGATCAATAAAACTATTTGGAATAGGATCATTAATAACTTGTTTATTGAACATGTGATAGTTATTCGCTAATCAGTAGTGTACAAATCGAAATAAGACAGTATGGAATGGTTTTTTTTTATAGAAATGAGAATAATTAAACATTTTAGTGTGATAATTAAATTTCAGTCTGCTTGAATTAATTGTAACGTATTTTGGTCAACAATAAATTGATTTTAAATGAAAAAAAGAGAAACTAATAAAGACTGAAACACTTTCATTAGCTATTAATATTCATGTAAATATGAAAAGAATAATGTATATAGTGAGTCATCTTATTTACTGTGTATAAAGTACAGATATAGGTTATGCACATACATATAAGGCATGATATCCTGAAATTTAATGTCTCATTACAACTAGGTAGTAAAATCCACTGACCGACATGATTAAATGTATTATCTAAGAAAAAAAGGTTATAATGATGAAAGAAATGATAATCAGCTTCGATCATGAACACCGAAAGTTAAGGGAACACGGCAAATCAATCATTTTAAGATTAAACTAGCTAGAGATGGATTTTATCACCTTCTAGCTCAAAATAGTTTATTCATACGAGTAAATTTAAAGATAGACATAATCAAACTTCTAAATCTATTATGTGACGATAAATGTTATCTGTGTAATAGTTCACACTAATCCGTTTGAACATCATGTAAATAAACTACAATTTCGATTTCACTTAAGTTTATATTGAGTTAGTTTAAGTTCTCAGTTAAATCTCATCAACAAACTTATTAGTTTGATTACACTACTCGATCACTTACTTACTTATGCCTGTTACCCCTCGTGTAGGAGCATAGGCCGCCCATCAGCAATCCTTTCCAGTTCCTATTCATCCTCTTGATGTCCGCTTCAAATTATCAACGCAGTGTGTTCTTTGGCCTTCCTCCTCTACATTTCCCTTGAGGATTCCAAGTTAGCACTTTCCGAGCGATTCAGTTTGATTTCTACAATATGTGTCCTAACAACTTCAAACGCCTTTTCTTAATTTCCTCTTCAGATGTAAAAACTGATTTCTCTGTTACGGTAGGCTATTGCTGATGGTATCCCGCCAAAGGACATTCAGTATCTTACGTAGACAATTGTTTATAAATACTTGTAAATTTTTGATGATGGTTGTAATAGTCCTCCAAGTTTCAGCTCCGTACAGTAGGACTGTCTTGACGTTCATATTGAAGATTCTGACTTTCATATTCAGTCAGTCAGTAACAATGTAGAACTTTGTACGTAGATACATCAGTTCGAGTTGCCATACCACATTAACACAGAGTTGCAGTTGTCGACTCGAATTCCGTAGTGGTAGAGGCGGTAAGAGTATAAGCAGTAATTGGAAAAATTAGGGTTTGAAGGACTTTGATATTAGTCGACAGTTGTTTTGAGCTACATAAGTCCTTCAACTGTACGAATGCTGTTCTTGCTTTGCCAATCCTCGCCTTTAGGTTTGCATCAGATCCTCCACGTTCATCGATGATGCTACTCAGATACATGAAGCTTTCCATGCAAGCCGTTCATTGTATTCTGTGCTTACCCTCAGATGTCGAGGTGGTCTTCACAATCCAGTTGACCACCAGAAGTGAACGTGTATGGTGAGCGACTTTGTATGACTCCGATCCTTACTTGGAATGTGTCTGCCAACTGTCCTCCATGCCTGACTTGCAGTGTAGTCCGTCGTACGAATTCCGGACGATCCTGACGATTTTCTCAGGTACATCATGGTATCGAAGACCGCTCCATAATGTCCTTCTATCCATACTGTCAAATGCTTTCTCATAATCAGGGAAGTTGATGAATAGTGATGAGTTTCATTTAATTGACTGTTCAACAATGATCCGTAGTGTTGCGACTTGGTTTTTGTCCTTGACCGGTCTCTCTGGCTTGCTACATTTTCCTGCTAGTTTCTTCGTTGTTTCATATAGCTGCCTCGTATTTCCTACTCATGCAGCTTTTTCCGCCGTCGTTGCTAGCTGTTCCGTGTATTTCTGCTTGCCAGCTCTAATGCTCTAATTCACTTGCTTGTTTGCCTCTGTGTATATAGCTTGTACCTCGATTTTCTCTGCCCTTGTTCGACTGTTGTTAATTGCTGTCTTCTTGTTTTTCCTTTCTTGAATCTTATCCAGGGTTTCGATAGAGATCCATCCCTTATGATGATACTACTTGAGGCTCATCACCTCATAACATGTTGAAGTCAGTGCTTCTTTGATCACTTTCCAATTTTTCCAGTGTTTTTTTCTTCTCTGAGTAGATCTTGTAAAGCTTGGAACCTGTTGTTGAGTTATCTTGAATTCATTAAGTTCGTCAGTATGTTGAAGGAATGCTATATCGAACATTTGTTTTGTTGTTTGTCCATTTTTCCAATGCTTCTTTAGCTTCAGTTTCATCTTGGCAACCACCAGGTGGTGACCTGAATCTATGTCAGCTTCTCTCTTTGTTCTCACGTCTTCCAATGTCCTTCTGAATTTTTTTTACGTAAATATTATCTATCTGGTTCTACGTGGTGTGATCCAGTGAGATCCATGTAGCTTTAAGTATGCGTTGGTGTGGGGATATTGTACCGCCTACGGGATGGGCTTGCCGACCCCACACCCACAATTTATAATCAATGAAGTTTATATTTTTTCAGAAATTGTACACCAATACCCACTAAATTTATGTATTGGTTTACCAACCCGTAAACACTTTCTCAACCAACCAATAATATAAGTCAACATTGTAAACTTGCACAACAAAAAATATCAGATCAACACAGAAAAATATCCTGTATTAGAAGGAATTACCTAGGAACTTCACCATGGCGATCATAAAGCATTAAACATTTATGTGTTAAAATGATCTCTTGTTACCAAAATGTACATTTTATGCACGGTTTTTAACTCCCTTAATCCCATGAAGCTAATTAGATAGATCGCTTTCAGAAGATAAAGAACCGTTAAAGGGGATATCATTCACTTATAGACATAGATCTATGAACTCAGAGATACGAATACTCTGTACCAAAGCTTGTAGATAATTATGAATCTTTAACAAAGTATGAAATTTATTTTTACCTATAGATTAAAATTCGTTTTAATTTTGCAAGAGTTATGGGAGAAAGTTATACAACCATAAAATTAAATATGACGACCATTTCACCTTAAAGACGTTAAGCAAAGGATAAGTTAGATTATCTAAACAAACATTTAAAAATAAAACTCACTTGGCTTAAGCGTTTTCACAGCAACAATTGTTGTTTTATTCCATACAGCTTTAAATACTTCACCGAACTGACCTTGTCCAATTTTTTCCTTCAAAATAATTGAAGATTTTGGAATTTCCCATTTATCAATGAGTTTGTGTGAAAGACCCACAGGTTCTGGATGAGTTGGCTAACCAAATAATAAATAAAAAAACAATTAACTAAAAGTTATTCCCTAAATGAATAAATAAATTATAAAACATTTTAATTGTCTTATTGTATTAAATAAACAAATCTGTATATCATGTACGATAGTTGTTACCTTTTGAAGCTTATTGTTCAGTGAAACTAAAGTAAATCAAAATATAACTATCAATGAGTGGGTCATTTTACATGAAAGAAAAATGTATAGCTATCATAAATGAAATTTCCGAATTCTCTCGATTAAGTTAAATTTACAGTAAGCTATGGAATTACACATAAAACCATAGAGAGTAATTATTATCTACAATGAAATAAACTAGTTAACAATTAACACCAGTATGAACATTGTTGATTTTAGATTGGTGTTGAGGTGATCAAGAAAATTTCTCGCAAACGACAAGCAAGGGTCAGGAAACACTAAGAAGCATTTCATCCAATCAGCGTTCACTTGAAGTTTTAGCCAGAAACATCAAGGAAGTGAGACGTCACATGTAGAGGTTCTGATTAGCTGATTGCTATACTGTTATGTTTAGTAGCATTCCAGAATCTTCGAGCAACCTATTGACATTTAAAATACTATAAAAACCCTATATTTTCTGTATTGAAATGAACCTTTGGAGTTAAGTACTTCTCGCATACTTTGCACCTTCTGTCTCGAGTACAGGTCGCCGTATAGTTCTGGCTTGGGGGGTTACATGAATAGCTTAGGAACCGAATGTAACGTTCAATTAGCAAGACTTATCTACTGATAACATGAATGGATCAATATTAAAATTCCAATGGTGGTCTAACATTAATCCATTCATTATATCAATCCAAACTTAAAAATTAATATTCAATTGTTATTGTTTACTTGAATCTTCCCATTGATGTTTAGGACTACTTATTTATTTATTTTAACACATAGATATTGGTACAAAGAGGCACCAAATACATATGCGCCACACAAATCTCATTCGATATGTGTGAGGGCTGTGATACTGCCCGGGTGCCCAAACCGGAGCATGTAGTTTTCTTAGGAGGCCACACCCCGAACCTTCGACTTGAAGGTCTGATCCGCAAGGCAGTGGAGCTTCGTAAGGTGATGCAGTCCCATGGAAGCCGGTGACCAACGATTGGTTCATACGCCATTTGTTCCTTCAGGATACTGGAGCCCACGTACACCATTGGTTTGGAATCCGGTTAAAGCGCCGGACATTCGCTTTTCGTCCTCTCGTTTTCGTAAACAACACCCCGGTCACGAGAAGGCAGTGAGTATGACTTCCCTGGCAGAGGCTATATACGCGTGGCCATGTGAGAGCATTTTGAGAGGGAGAGCGGACTCTCCCGACTCTCGGCCGTACCAGGGCATTTAAGGGCCTCTTATTGGCATATGTGCATGCTGTGTGTGTTGCCTCGATATTACCTCAATTCACAAGGATTATAAGCAAAGATGGATAGTGACCAGCCGTGGAATCCAGGATGCTTGTTTCGTCCTATTTGGGACTCGTCGGCTGCATGGACCTGCATCTCAGAGTTGATTTTCACTCTGAGACTCGAATCTAGTACCGTTCGCTTCACCCCATTGCACAAGCAAGCGGCTATCAGGACTCAGTAGCTAAGTGGATAATGCGATGGCGTTTGAAGTGAACGGTATTGGGTTCGAGTCCAAGAGTGAACATCAACTCTGAGATGCAAGTACATCTACAGCTGACGAGTCTCGAATGGTACAGAACGCGCGTCCTGGATTCCACTGTTGGTTATAATCTATCTTTGCTTAACAATTAATAGTTCACTTTTCAATTTTCATGCCTTTCATATCCCATAACCTCATTAAGTCTATTCGTTGTGTAAAAAATCGATAATCTATACGCTCGTAATCAACCTGTTTTATTTAGTAGTAAACACAAGATGTCACACCTTGGTTAATGTTTTGTTCAAACACAAAAAGAAAACAAATCAACCTTTAAACTCATAAACACTTTTGTAAGGGTCAAACTCCGTTAATAAGGTCACCAAAAGTCTTCTGTTTTATGCTATTCAAATAGTGAATGCACCTAGTGCAATAAAATATTTGATAGATTATACATGACAGAAGTGAAGATAGAAGTAAACCGTTAAAAGAAGCAACTACATTTAAAATCAGTCAAAATAAAGTATATGAGACAAAGAAAAAAGTTTTTGCAGTTTATACGTGTAAATCTAGGGCATGCGTGCACGTTATGGTACTATCACATTGTCTAAATCAATAAGAAACAATACCTATTATCATTAGAGAAAAAAGTGTTTTATAAGATTTATTCAGCAAAAGGGAATATATTATTCACATGACCAAAAAGAATGAACCAAATTTCTGCAGGTCAACAACAAAAAATGAGACGAAACAGGGAAATAGTGCCTACTTTCATCTGTGTGCAAGAAAAAATATGATAGTATGGTCAGCTAAACGGATATCCATGAATCAGTAACCAATTAATCGCTCCAACTCAGTTCTCAAATGAGAAGTCGATTATAATTGCACGTATTAATTAATGAACCACGCCTGTTACGTGAAATAAATAATATATCTATGGACAATATCCTTAATAATTTGAGTGCTTAAACCACTAAGAAATAATACAAACTCAACATTTATCAAGCAACAATGGTCGCTAGCAAAAAGCAATACACACACTGAACAAATGTCAGACGATAAACACATAATAAGAAATGAACGACTAAAGACAGCCTCTGTACGCTAATGCAAAAATAGTAATTAAGTACTAACAAGGTGAGAAATAAGCAAAAATAATAATGTCCCATCAGGATAATTTGCGAACGAAGTACACAATAATTTTACAATATTAGTGGTTGATAATTCACTTTGATTATATGACTAACTACATTGCATAACTTTGTATAACAGTAATTCTTTGATTAAAAAGGTCTCTTTAGACCCCACAAGACACGAGGTGAAATGCCTGTTGCAGTAACTTGTTTGAGTTAGACTACCTCCTCTGGATCACGAATATTTTAACACATCCCAATAATATTTTCTTCCTCATCAATGTTCTTTTTATCCATATATGATGCTTTTTCGTAATTGCTGGACTTCAATTTCTATTTCATTGTAAAGCGTAATACGGGTCAACGTTTACAGGTAACTATGAGTTCGTCCATGTGCTAAATTTTTTTTGACTTCTTAGTCTAGTGCCTCACTTACGTTATTTCTAATCACTCATGTAATTAGACATGAGATTGAAGCCTGGGATGTGCACAGAGAACGTTTAAATATCATATTAACTAAAACTAGATCTTATACGAACACATAATCAAAGATAACATATACGGCGAACACTAAAATATTCAAACCCAGACACTTCCGAAATTCCATGACAAGAACGCTAGTCACTTAGTCAATCAGAACGATACTTACCATTCCAAGCAACGGGTGGCCATATCTCCTGAGTTCTAAACATTGAGTGACAGCGTGAGGACGCCACTTCATCAATTTCCATTTTGGAAAGCAGATAGTATCACTAATCCCTCAAAAGAAGTGTAATTTGAAGCTGAGGAAACTATTTTGAACAAGGACAGTCATATACATTAATCATTAGAATCCATATAGACAGGAAAAGGTAAATCATAATCTACACCACAGACTTTATGTTAAGATAGTCACTAGAACAAATTCTATTTATCAGGATACTTGTGCTAGCATACGAATCCATATTTTTATCAAAGAGTTAACTAACGTTCTACAGCTTTATATATTGACAGTACTGAGATCAATTATTCACAGGATCGTTTTGTTTTTTAGAGAAAATAATTATAAAAACAACAACATAAGGTATACGAATTACTAATGAGGATTTAACTTACTCGAATGCATGGTTTTCCTAATCGACAACATAAACCAGATTGATTCTCTAAATAATGATTGACTAGCTGTTGAATATTAACAAAAGGCAGTTGTCTTGAAATGTAGAAACGTTTTAATGTAGGATCAGTTCGTGAATATCTTGATCGAATACGATAATGCTTAACAGTATTCTCTTCTCGTACTGAAAAGGAAAAAAAATATTAGGAAACCTATGAAGCAAAAACGCTAATAACTTTTCATACAGTTTATCTATTAACTTTTTAAAGTGGTCTATATAACAGTAACATTTATCGCGTCTGACTGAAATCCAGAACAGATGATAACTCGATACATATTAAACAATACAGAGATACATAGATCTAGAATTTCCAATCAATATAAACAGAATAAACAACTAATGTGATAATTAGAAAACAAAGATTCCGGACATAGAATTGTTTCTTTTTTTCCAAAAAAGAAAGTAAACAAAAACAGACAGAAATAATAACACATACAGTGGTTTCCATTTAGTGTCCACAGATCGCTTTCTATGTAATGGCTTTGTTACACATTTTGCTGACAAATTGGGCAGTATAGTTAGGTGTCTGTCTTGAAAAGTTTATTGTACAAACTAAATTACTTAAATACTTTAAAACAAAGTGAAAGCAATCATGAACCTGGATGAGTCAGTATAAAGCTGAAAGAAGAGGTTGTTAATTCAATTTGTCACATTTACAAACACATCTGTGAAGATGAAATATTATCTTAAAAAAGGAGGTGAATTAATTAGACAGAATATGGCTAACATTTCAGTTCAGTTATTCCATCATTATCAACACAGGGATCTCATGAATGAGTGTAGAGTAGACCAATCTGTCATAATTTATATTAGCAGAGAAAGAGGAAATCAACAAAACGAGTAGTAAGTTTTTAACTGGAAACAAAATTTAAATATGACAGATTTAGCTCGAAAGAAACACAAAACATCGATGAACAAAAACAGATAGGATTCTGAAATGACGATTATAAACCCAGACCTATTGACTAGTGTGCAATTTTGATTATCATTGTTTAGCAATTATATATAAATGTATATGGTTTTTATAATGCTTTGATAGTCTAACCTTTTGTATATTTGTGCTAGATTACGTTTATTACAGGAGGTTCGATCAGTTTATCAGAGATTTATATTTGTAAAATCTCGATAGGATATTTAAAGCCTAGATTCATTAGATAATCATGTCATCACTACTTATTAAAGAAAATATTATTAATTTACAGCAGAATCACAACATTTTCAACTGCTGAATGCTTCAATTCATGAACTCCATTTGGTAAATACATAATTTCTCAAGAATGTCAACTCACCTCTGGAATCATGAAAAAAAAATGTTCACTTCTTATTAAAGAAAACAAATAATAGATAAATTTGGCCATATAAACATTATGGATGTGACGTCGCTTAAATTGATGTCCATAACTCACTTAACGATATCATCAAATATAAATCAACGTCAAAATTGAACTTTGTCATAGGTAACACAATATACATAATTTTTAATTCGATAACCGAAATCTTAGTACCTGATGTTATATGTTTGAAAAAATATTACTTATTTCTGAAGGATATAACCTCCGTAATCACCTTTTAACTATTCCATTTATTCAATAATACATTAGATTACAGTATTAAGGCTGACAATATAAAATGAAGCAACTTTTACAAATAACATTTATGTTTAACCCAAACGGCTGTAGTGTATTTTATGAATAATTATACATTCGTAAATCTGTTTAACCATACCTGCCCCACTAACCCTCTTGCTATAAATCCATAAACAAAATTATTTTACAGATGCAAACAAATGTTTGTCAGATGCTTAAATCCCAACACTCCGTAACCACTTAATCAGTATATGATTAAAATGAAGGCGTTTTAATGAGAAGTTAAGAGTAAACGTGACTGTAACATTTATTGAGAAATCTAATTTGATATCTGCAGTGTGAAACACAGAGAACTAAAAGTGAGTTAAAAATACATACTTTAATTTGCCCTATTAAATATTAAAAAACTTGAAAATGAATTACTTTTGACCGTTAAGATGACAATGAATAACTTATAATACATTATTATAAACAATATATTTATTTGGAAAGGCATTGAAAATTAATTGTATATACGAAAATGTTTTGGGAAATGCACACAAACCCATGTATAACTGCCTATTAATCAATAGTACTCGTCTGTATTATTTATTTATGATATGAATATGATGTTGGTTTATGCAGAGCTAAGTCTTCCAGTATTACTTGAGACTACAGGAATCCATTCTTTTAGAACGAACTTCATTCAGACAATAAAAATCGTATTTTTGACAGAAGTTGAGTAATGCAATTATTAAGACAGAGGAAACTATTTTTTATGTTATGATATACCAGATCGATCGGCTAACTTTAAAAGAATAATGTGATTAAATGATAATTATACACAAATCTGACTAAAGTCAACAATGACCGGGTATCAAAAGGCAGAATAACCGGTCAATAAAATGAATAGAATTCACTTAGATTATAAATGGTTATTGAATCTAGACCTCGTAGGTAACTTCTAAACTGGTAGATTTGAGACCCTACAACCAGCCTCATCAATTCTCCTATCACCTCACCTCAAATGTTATGATGGAAGAATTCTGTTATAAATTATACAGATACACATTTAACTTAATTCATACAGTATTCTGTCCGCTCTAGCAATGACGGCGGGATTTGAAGTTCTGAATCTCGATGACAACTGGTAAGTTGAAATCACTTATTTCACTCAGATGGGATCAATTCATTAAAAGTTGAAATTGACCGGAAGATTATGAGGATCTACTAATTCAACTTAATTTTGAATTTCGATCAAAAATAACTAAGGTAGTAAACGATACTAACGATAACTTTTGCACACGGCGGAACAGATGGGTGAAGAAACATCTATCAACTTTGAATAAATTGTCCTTCAGCAACGACGTAAAAAATGCAGTGCTCGAATCAAATTTCTTTGTGGGTTAATAAACAAGTTCCACTGTAAATTCACAAGTGGTATTATAACAAACGAAGGTCAAAACATCCAAGAAAAGTGAGTGAATGGATCTTCGACTAAATAAATGTCTATCGAACTCACACAAAAAGCTAGTCCGATATCAGCAAATACGCAATAAATCTGCTAATTGAACCCTCGATCTGATTTTCAACCAGCTTCTAATAACTCCAGGTTTAATCTACATGGCAACTTGAACACGAGAAGTGTGGGAAGAACGCTTTACTCCATGGTTAGATGTATGTACAGAAAAACGAGGGTATTTACAGTAACATACGACATTGGGCTTCTGGAAATTTCTAGTGCCATACCAAATATAGTACCAGCATATGTGAACATCCAATCAAAGCCACGGCATGTGATTCCTCTTCTTCTTCTAGGTGTTTCTGTGAAGATAAAACGTTTCCTGGCGTTTCTGGGCTCCTAAGGAATTTGATGAGGGATATTTTTGGGACTACTAAAACTAATTCCACATACACCATGAAATAGTGTATGTAATTAGATTCAGAAAGGGGCATGATGAACATTACTCAACTGCATACATTTCAGCCAGGAAAAACTCTAAATTTTGTAACATCGTATCTTTTAGTATCTACATATGCAGAAACCTATTGGGGTGCAAGTATATATGGATTAATGAACTCTGAAAAAATGCCAGTCATGCTTTAAAAGAAAGCTATTCATATTTATTTGGTCGTTAAATAATCTGTCCAAAAGTATGTCACTTATAGAAGATGACTAATTCTACATACCAGTTATTGTTTTTAATGACCATTGATTCCTGGCTTGAATAAATTATTTAGATGTGTGAAGAAACATCACCCAGACGATCGATCACACAACCTATAGCTATATAATTATTTGTCTATTATAGAAACCATAAACATTACCTTTATGTTCGAAGACAACACAATGTATCTGCAATCTAAAGAATAAAGAGCTTATTGTTGACAAGTCAAATAGTCCAGAGTTTGTACAAAAAATGTTTTAACTAACCATCTTATGCTGTGAAAAAAAAATCTCCACAAAATTAGATTAAGCACATGGAATAGCTTTTGTTTCTCTTAACTACCTTAGAATAAAATGTTTAAAAGACTAAATAACTCAATAATGATAATAATCACTACTCCGTAATTTCAGCACTCAATTACTAACAAATGAATTACAGATGAGAGTTATGCCCCATTTTATACTATATAGCAGCTGAATATCTCTAGCCTTGCACTGTTGATGCTCGCTCTTATACACACAATTATTGACGGGTTCCGGATTATATAATTGAGTTATTATTAATTTGCAGTCCATGTAGCTGAATAAGCCTGATTACCTCCTGAATATAAAAACGACGATTCCCACTTTATCTTATGAATGCAGGAGTATGTCATAATCCTGGAGATCAGTAAGAAATTTTTTATCGAATATTATTTACTGGACATACATAATTACTGGTTTCTCAGATTATTACATTCAGAAATGTGAATAACATAGTCTTAACCAGAAATGCTTAAAAATATACAATCAAACATTTTGTTAAATACTGTATAATCTAAATATCAGTAGACAAGATATATGGAGATCAAAATACTGCTAATCTGTATTTTATCACAAATAAGAGTTTCTTCGAACTTTGGCAGATATCGCTCACGTTATTAAATCCAAGACTATCCCATATACAATGTAGCTGATAACTAGGCATAAATATTATTGACAAGGTACGACCTAGTCAAAATAAACAAGGTTAAACTGTCTGAAATAAAAGTAAACATCAAAAAGTCAATAAATTATAAATGGATGCTATAAAATTTAATATGTTTACGCTTTGTAAACGAAACACACTTTGAACATGACTGATTAAAATCAATGCATCTTCGTAAATCCATTTATTCAGTCCAAATAAAACTACACTTGAAAAGGTTAAAAATTTGCAGGGAAGATACGCCAAAACTTTGTAAACAATTTTTCTAAATATTTAAAGTGACACAGACATCAAGGAAAAACATTTTTTCATAGAAATGTTATCACAATCACCTTTTAAATTTTATGAACTGTGACTGATAAATCAGATATGAAAAACACAACTATAAAAGATGAAAATTATATATATGTATATAAATTATATT